ATGAGTCATGGTTGCTGTTAAGGAACTTAAACGAACTTGTTAAAAGAAGAAGACCCAATTATCCACTATATACCCATATTATGGTAACCTTAAGCTCCGTAACCGAACCCTGACCCTAAACCCTAAACCCTAGACCCTATATTCCCATGTTATGGTAGCTTAACTTAAGTTCCTCAACCCTAAACCCCAAACCCTAAACCCGAAACCCTAAACCCGAAACCCTCAAGCCCATATAAACTTACCATTCCCTAGGGTACCCTTATTTCCTTAATCTTGAAATTTTAAGGATTCAAGCTCAAAATGACACCCCCCAAACCCTAAGTAATGGTAATAAACCCAGCCCTAAACCCTAAACCCAGGAGTCATGGGCTTCTGGGAACATTCGCATGAAGAAGTCCCTGGAACCCCTGGGATGTTTGGGAGATCTCGGCTGGCACCTCCGAACATGTTAGGTTTGGGGGGGTTTGGGGGCTTAGGGGTTCAGGGTTTAGGATTTAGGGTTGAGGGTTTTAGGGGTTAAGGGGTTCAGGTTTCAGGGTTTTTGTTTTGTCTCTTGTTGGTAGTACTCGTATTTTAAGATCATTATACCAGTATGATTGCTAACATCCTATTTGTAATATTGTTGGCATGGTTTCAGTCATTAGGTTTATGCTGTGCTTTATAATTGGTGTGATGTTTACTGTTCTTCGTCTTCGTACTCTCGTTATAGCTGTCCCAGTAAGCAGCTGAACATACCCCAAAACTAACCCTAAACCTTGGGTACTGCACCCCCTCAGTAACAGTTGGATAATAAGTATAATATGGCTATATATAGCCCTAATAGGACCCCTAATATAGATTGTTACTGGGTGGGGGCAGTACCCAACCTAAACCCAAAAAATTAGGAGCGTTCCAGGGCAGATTCAGGTACAATGCTCGCCTTACCCTGTGGGCTTTTGACTATGCGCTTCCCTCTGCGGTGTCCTGCACCTACGTGGAGCACACTGATGAGGGGGTCCCAACCCACATCATGGCGCAGATGCGCTTTGGGACTAGGACCGCTGCTGGATTGGATTGCTGTTAAGGAGCTTATTTTAAGTTACCAGAATATGGGGATATAGTAAAAATGGGGTTTCCTTATTCTAGTAACCTAAAAAAAGTTCCTTGAATCCCTCTTTTCCTCCAGTTTCCATCTAATTTTCCATGTTCTTTTCCATTTGATTCTCCATTGTAGGGACAATCTCGAAACTCAATTTAAGTTCCTCAACAGCAACCCAGGCTAGCTTCATGGCTTCCTTCAGGGCTGCTTTCCGAAACAGCGCAGAGTTTGTGGGGGAGAAGGCCCTGGTCTCAATCGAGGATTTCGTCGTTTCTAGCAAGCTGGACACGGCCAGCTACAAGGTGACAAAGACCACGTTCGGTGCAAAGGCTGAGACGTTCCCTGTTGCAATCTTGAAGGATGAAGAATTGAAAACGGGGGTGCAGCATTCCAATCTCGTGGCAACGTTTTCGAACCTGGTTGCCTCCGGCAAGGTGGACGAAGCATGGCCCCAGCAGACATATCAAACCCAGCTAGTCTTGGATGCGATGGTCAAGTCGGCTGAGCAAGGTGGTGCATGGGTAGCCTTAAGCTAGCTTCAGCTCGCCTGAAAGCTGGCGATTTTTCTCTACTGAAGCTGTAGCCGTGCAAGGAAAATCTGAGATGGCCGCAAAGCACCCCAGTAAACCCTAAACTCTAAACTCTAAAGCCCTAATGATAACTTTTGACCAGACTCTGGCTTGTCAATCTGTTATATGGAGGTTATATTGGGGATAATGGAAAATAACATGGAAACTACTATAGTATATTGGGGTTTATATGGGGATAATGGAAAAGAAAATGGAAACTACTATAGTATATCGGGGTTTCTCTGGGGATAATGGAAAAGAAAATGGAAACTACTATAGTATATCGGGGTTTATGTGGGGATAACGGAAAAGAAGATGGAAACCACTATATTGTGCGGTGGAACATGGCCGCAGGCTCAATGCAGCAGCTCGGATGCATTTCAAAGCTGCCAAACTCAGAGCAGACTGAAGGTGGCCGTTGCACAGTGGAAATCTAAGATGAATTGCTGTTAAGAATTAAGTTACCATAATATTAATATGGGCATGTAGTAAAGAATACAAAGAATATGGCTTCCTTATTGTGGTAACTTAACAAAGGTTCTGAACAGCAGCCCAGTAAGGACAGCCCATCGCGAGCTCTGCCGCAACGTTTCTCAGCTGCAAGCCGTGAAGGCATCAAAAGAACGTTGAAGTCTAAACCCTAAACGCCTTTGAGCTGAGGCCATGCGGTGCTGTGAAGCCCATGGCAGGCAAGCCGCAATTGCTGACGATGTCAGTGCACGGGTTTTTGGGTATTTGTTGTCATAGAGGTCCCCTCCATACCACCCCCCCCAAAAAAACGAAAGATCACCTAAGACGTCTCCAAAAGCAAGGAGCCCGATGAGAGCTGCCTCAGAAATGGGGCTCATGATTTTCCCTGAGCCCTAGACCTTAAACCCTACATAATAGTTTTTTTTCCATTTCTTGCCCTATATATTCTTATATTCTCCTTGCACGTGCCCTACAATAACATGTAGATAGCCAGTCAGACAGCTGGGCCCCTAAGACCATAAATGCTGGTGGCATCGAAGCTTTCATGGGGACTTCTGGGAATTTCTGTGCGTGAAGTGCTAGTAGAACCTGGGTAGCGGAAAGCTCAAGTTATAACCAGCTAATATCCCATATCCTCCGGCATCTTCTTGTAGATGACCCGTGTGTTTCTGAGAGGCTTTCCCGGGATAGCACCCTTAAACCCTAAAACCCTAAGCCCTAAGCCCTAAACCCTAAACCCTAAACCCCTAACACTAAAAAAACCTAAACCCCTAAACCCACCAAAATCTTGCGAAGTCCTAGCTCACAGGTGGGGTCCCCGAAGCGAGAAACTGGCCTGAGGCTGTGTTTAGGGTTTAGGGTTAGGGTTTAGGGTATAGGGTATAGGGTTTAGGGTTTAGGGGTTAGGGTTTAGGGTTTAAGGTTTAGGGCTTCCAGAGCAACTTTCGCAATAGCCGTGATCATCATAGGGACTTGGGGGGGTGTTGGGGTCCATATTCCTTAGATCGGGCCTTAATAAGCCCAAATAAACCCTTAATCAGCCTTCTCTTCTCTTGATTCTCCGATGTTGGAGTTATATCAATATCCTTAAAACCCTAAACCTCAAATCCTTTAAGAGCCTTGGTTCCAGGGACGCTTGAGGGGAGGTGTAGGCATCGTTAGGATTTAGGGTTGCGGGTTTAGGGTTTAGGGTTTAGGGGATAATGCTACTCGGGCCATGGGGGCCCGACTGATGTAATGGGATCACGAAGGGAACAATGGGGTACGTCTTCATGATTAAAGAAGCTAATTTGGAGTAACTCCAAACATGGGATACAGCCAGTATTTCTGCCAGCATGCAAAGGATATGGGTGGACGTAGGCTTGTTTATTCTTTATGTGGTGGGTCAGGGAACTGGTCATGTACACTGAAAAGCCACCCTCCATCAAAACCCTACAATCAGCCGCAATGTAACCCCAGTTATCCCACTATTTCTCTTGTTAGTGACCATCCCTGACCTTAGGGTTTAGGGGTTTAGGGTTTACGGTAGTTCAACATTGTAGGGGCTTTAACAGATTCCCAAACCAGCCCCCTTGTGCACGAGCTACAGACGTACTACTGACATGCCAGCTTTCTTGCGCCAATCCTTCCATCCGGACTCTAAACCCTAAAGCCTACATACGATGTTTTTTTTCCATTTTCTTTCCCCATATATCCCTATACACTCCTTATGCATCCCCTACAAGAATCCCTATCTACCGACCCTAAACCCCAAACCCTAAACCCCTGAACCCTAAACTCTGTATACTTGGTGACCTGTGAAGGTCTCGCCGCCTGGACCGTACTTGTCCCTGGCTTACTTCAGGTTTCAAACTACTACCCCCACACCCCTAAACCCTAAACCCTAAACCCTCAGGGTTTAGGATCCCTAGGAGTACCCTGCGCAGATTAAGAATTCTAGTAATTAGGCCTTGTGAAAATAGGGGAGCCTATATACGATTTTTTTTCAAACTGTACTAGGGGCCAATGCAGTGAGACTTGATCCTAAGAGGTTGAAGGGGGTTGGGGGGCCCTAGGCCCCAAGATATTGTAATCCTGATTCGAGGGACCTGCAAAATGGTACCCCTGATTTTGGGAACCCCCAAATAAGAGGAAAGGGACTACTCCCACACAACTTCCAGGGTTTAGGGTTTGGTTGGTGGTCTCTTGAAAGGAGAGGTGTGTTACATAAGGGGATGCAGAGGGACCTTATTACGGAATGTAAGGCTAGTAACAGGGTACACAGGTTACAGAGGAAGAGAGCAGTAGCCTGCTCCAGCCTCAAAGATAATTGATAGCCTCTATCCCATGTTCCATTTTTCTGTTATAATCCTAAACCCTAAACCCTAACCATCTAAAACTATGCTTTTTTCCAGTCCCAGCGGTTGAGGATGAGCAACGTCGGAACAGCGCCGGTGCCAGCTGGCTCCCCAGATGCCCCCATCACAAGGGTAAAGGGTGACAGTCCAGGCTACAGGGTTTAGGGACATATCTCCCTTAGGGGTTGTAGTGGGGTAGTATTGGGGATTATATAGGGATAATGGAAAAGAAAATGGAAACTACTATTTAGGGTGTACGGTTTGGGGTTCAGGGCTCAGAGGTTAGGTGGACCCCCCACCCACAATAGTGACTATAGGGGATAATAGGGATTATATTCGGGTCCTTATATTCCTATTATACCACTATTACAGTGTGGGGGGTCCTCCTAAGCTATAGGGTTTAGGGTTCAGGGTCTAGGCCATGAGGTGTAGGCTCAAAGCTGTAAGCCCCACATACGGTGTCCTCAATGGAATGGTTTACCAAAACAGGTACCACCATTGGAGCACATGAGCTATAGTCTAAACTCCTTAAAGGGGGTTATATAGGGGATTATATAGGGGACTACTATAAGGGTTATTAAGGGGGATACTAGGAGTTTAGACAATGGCTCACATGCTGCGTGACTTGCAGGTCTCAAGCTCATGATCTCAAGTGTCGCTTGACGCGAGGCCATGGGAAACGTCCATGTGAACCAGGTTCCATATGGGCGTGATGCTCAGTGCATGCTGTGTTTATGCGCTCGTTTCTGAACCCCAGTCTGGTATGAAAGCACTTATGGTAGTACTGATAACATCTATAGCTGTAGTAGTCGTAATGTGATTTTTATTTGTCAGAATATCGGACAACAAACCCGGTCATAGTAATGATACCATTGTTCCATTCTCACTTCTACTATTACTATACTGTAAATATGTTGTTCTTGTGAGTTTCATTTTTTTATGAACGCCCTAAAACCCTAAACCCCCAATCCTACACCCTAAACCCTAAACGCTAAACCCCTAAACCCTAAACCCCCTAAACCCTAAACCCTTAAACCCTAAACCCTAAATCTCCTCCCCAAGGTCGTATGGCATGATGCCTGGAATGCTCAACCCAAGTGTGCCACAGCCTGTGACCATGAAACTTGGCTGAAGGTATCTGGGGGATATCTAGGGGGATCCCTTTAAAGGGGACATATGGGGTACCTATGTAGGATCCCTTTAAAGGGGATATATGGGGCACAGCACAATACACCTGGTTTAGGATTATAGTTTTTTTGTTTTTTTTTTTCAGCTTGCGGGTTCCTAAGCCCTCAAGCGCCTGAAAGAGTGCTTTCAGACTTTGCTGCTGTGTGCTGCATGTCAAACTGAGGAGTAACCCAGCGGCCGGGAACTCATCCGAGAAGTTCTTTCCGGTTCTTTGTAGGGAATGCGGACGTGGAAAGAAAGGGCACGTATTCACGATTGGGGATTTATAGAAACTACCATAGAGATCCATTCCTTCATTCCCTACAAACGCCCAACCCCTACACCCTAAACCCTAAACCTTGAGCGCTAAACTTTGAACCCTGAACCCCAAACCCGAAATCCTGAACCCTAAGCCCTAAACCCTGAACCCTGCTCCCTAAACCCTAAAGAATTGCACTGGGTGGCGGCATGTTGGCTCGGGACTTAGTAACCATGACCACTGAGCCCCTCGGTTACCCAGCTATCCACAGAAATTAGATTTACTACGTCCTCCCAACCCTTAACCCTGAAGATCTCTAAGCCCTATGGGCACTAATTATTAAGCCCTCTGGGCCCTAAACCCTAAGCCCTTAAACCCTGATAGACCCTAAACCCTCAAACCTTAAACCCTCAACCCTGAACCTTTAAACCTCAAACCCTTTGGACTTTCAACTAAGCTTTGCTTCAGGCCATGGGCTTGGGACCAGGACTTTTCCATGCCCACGTCCCTGGCTCAGGGTGTAGGTTGTAGGCTGTACGGCAGTAGAATTTGCAGAAGATTATGTTGGTTCTCATATCCAAGAGAGGTTTCAAGGGCCTTGGGACAAGCCACTGTAAGTTCTCCTCTCATTTATCTTGTTGCTTCAATGACTTTCCAAGGATCAGGCGTCCCCAAATCCCTAAACCCTAACCCCAAAACCCTGGACAGTATCTCCGAACTTTGGGCTTGTTTTCAAGCACGCCTCAAGATAAGACTGTTGGACATCCCCCCTTTGAAGACTTGCTGCGGTACTTGCGTAATTACGCAGGTGGTGCATAGGCTTGAGGGTGCATTTGTGTAAGACGCATGATGTGCAGGTATACATATATGTCCATATAAACATAGACATGCATGTATACGTGTTGGTACATATATACATGTGTTTGCATATTTGTATACGCATTCATACGTGCATATGTGTATATATATATATACACGTATATCTATATACATATATACATATATACATATATACATATACACATATGTATACTCATATACATTCACCTGTATATGTATATGGTCCCCCTGAAAAACCCAATTTGACCAACCATTCCTGTCTCAGGGATTTCATCGGGATGAAAGTCAGCCCCAGGACCTCATTTTTATTCTCCATCTACATCATTCTACGTCTATCACCCCCTACCCCCCCTGCCCCCCCAAAAGCCGACAACACAGAGAGAGAGAGAGAGTTCCCAGTGGTAGTTGCTTTGTGCATTTTGCTGACTGAGACCATGCTGTGGTGTAACGGATGTGTCACAGCTCTCTGGAGTAGGATGCGCAATGAACCGGGAGGAGTGGCCCGTGTACAAATTTACTGGGAGTGTGGTGCTTTCACCTGGTTCTATGTACATTGGTCCTCGGGAGTACCGACCTTGGTGCTGCGGTGACCTTTTTGGGGGTGCAGGGCTGGGCCCTGGGGGGGGGGGTTGTAGAACCCCTTTCACCCGTAAAGAAAGAGAGAGAGATATCTATATACATGCACATATAGATTTATACATACACACATGTTATATATATATATACATATGTACATATACACACGTACACACACAGATATAATATATATATATATATATA